CGTCTGCGTCAGAAGCAGCACGCCTGGGGTTCAAAGGAAGCTCCGTATTCTGCTCGCGAAGCGCGCGGGTCCTGCGTGACAAGCCCCGCTCTGCTACAGACAAAAGTTAGAAGCCTCACCTGTGAGAAGCCGCCTTCTTTGGGGCAAACTCGTATTCTTCTGGATACCAGCGTCTGTAAGCAAGGAGGGGGGGGAAAGCGCCACTTAAAAAAGGAAACTGGGATTCAAAAACACGGCCGGTGGCTGCTGCGGGCTTGTTACGATTGGGGGAAGAATTTCGGCTTCAGTGGCACCCAGAGAAGCCACGGCCCCGCGGGTCAAGCGCTGCAACCTCCAGAGCGGAGCACTTCACGGCTCGTCCTGTGCATCGGCCCGAACAGAACAGGTGACAGGCCGAGGTGGCCGCAGGCAGCCCCCTCCCAAGCAGCCTTTAGCCTGGCTTTAGAGGAGCGCGCGTCAGCGCCGCTGAACAGGCCTCCCTAGATTATCTTTCGTCGGACTGCCTAATTTGGGGAACACTCACCTGCACAGTTCTTTGACGGTGCTCACATCAATGATCCTGTAATGAAGGTGCCTCATGAACTGAGGCATGTATTTGTCAAGAAATTTCTTATCTGCGTGAACAGAGTTACCTGCAAAGAGACAAAACGAGATGTTCCTTCAAAGACATCACAAAGCTACTAGGAACGACATCTAAACGAGAGGCAGGCTAAGCGAGCTGGGGAGAGATCACAGGGTATGAAAAGCTATTCACAAGCAGCTCGTTTATCCCATTTTCTAGTAAATACGATTGTGAAGGTTTGTCAGATCTTCGCTGCAGGATCGCAGGCGGTTTAAATACCTAATCCCTCTATTAATTCCTCAGTTACTACCCCTACAATTTCTGTCACGCAGATAAGTATCAAAGTACTATGCAAGCGGCGGGTCTTCCGCCAAGTGGAAACGGGCATCGGGATTAATTTCACCCAGCGCCAGTCCCAAGACCGTACGTGACCGTCCAGGTAGCAGGACGTTTGGAAGATTCCCATTTGGCGTTCGGTTCGATGCACAGCGAGGAAAAGACGCCGTCGGGTCTGCTGCTGGGATTTTACGGTCGCAGGTTGCTGCCCGCCCCCATTATAACTGTAGACGGAAACATTCAATGCAAAAAAGCATTGCAGTTCCCCGCAGTGATGACGTGCGGCACTCGCTTCAGGGAACCTGCAGAATGGACGCCGCCATTACCGAACCTCTCCTCACTAACCAGGTTTCGATTTGCCTGCTAGCTCCCAGCACAGAAAACGAAAGCACCCCCGCCACGTGCATCAGCGGGCCCCGCGGCACCCAGCCGGGAGCTGCAGGAGGGACGATACCGTTGTTGTTAAGAAAGAACATACTTTACCTGCGAGGGGACAGAGGCCCGGGGGAGTCTGTTGTCGTACAAAGGACAGAAACTCGTACTCTGCTTGCTGCAACGAAATTTTGCTCTCCTTCACAGCCTTAGTGAGGCCAGACTGCAAAAAAGAGCCGTCCATCATAAATCAGAAACACGCTGCCATAAAAGGCGCTTCCAGAAACGCCCAACGGCGAAAGGTCGACCCTCCAAGTATTGTTTGTCCCCCCAGCGCGCCCAGCAGCACCCACCGAACTCGGCGTTTCCGTATTCTGGGACGTGCCCCTGCCTTTATTCCCTCCGGTACCTCCACAAGCAGGCCCGACCGACGTGCGGGGCGCCGCTCGGGAGGCCAACAACCAACAGAAGTAAAGGCGACGGTAGCGCAGCCCTGCGCTACGACGGGGCGTCTTCTCTTTCCCCGGTCGCTGTACTTCCTAGGGGTCGTTCTCGGTTGCCGAGGCGTTACGCAAGCCTCGTTCATACACGTACGCGATCCAGGAGAGTATCGCGTTTCCCTCTGCTTAAGGAGAGGCATTCGCCTCCCCAGCGCAGCGCGGTGGGTATAAATAAACAGAAATAATCAGGATCCTGGCTTAAGTGTTTATCAAGATTCCTATAAATCAGAAAAGTTCCTTCCTCCTTTTTTTTTTTTTCAACAGTTAAATGTCAAATCTGCTCCAAGTGTTCTCAGTGATTTATTTCCATCTGGCTACGCTATATATTTCCACGACTCTGCCGCAAAAATCTACTTGACAGATCCAAGTGGTGGTTAACAAGTTCATTACGTGGCTGCATTTTCATCTATATTCTAATTGCTTCTCTTTTCTTAGTCAATTAAAAATAAGTAGCTCCTCAGGAGCAGCGATAACGTATGCTGCCATCTTCAATTCGCTCCTGAACTGAAGCCGAGTTTGAGTCCTCCACTGGAGAAGGGGAAAAGCGCCCATCACGGTAAATCAATATTCGTTTTCCAAACTCCTGCTAATCCTTCCCGGGGAGAGCGAGATGCCGAAGGGGGGAGGAGGGGAGGGGTTCCGGGTGTCCTAAAACTTCAGCCCTTAATTGAAAACTAACCGGAATTTCAGTTCATAATCGGGGATTGGAAAATCCATTCGCTTTCTTGCTACTGGCAAGGAGGACGCTTTCTTCGGTGGCTGAGAGAACGAAAAATAAGCTCTTGCTGCGAAAGTTAAGCTTTCGGCGAAAAAACACGCTAGGCTTACGGCGCTGAGGGGACAGGCAAAAATAACAACCCAGCGTTCACGGTAAATCGGCCTGTTTAATTCTACAAGTACCTAAATTTGCAGCGATAAATTTGCAATTTTGTCGCCTCTGGACCGTTCTACACCGATCTCGTGCCTGTTCTTACTTGGGGCTTCAAGCCAGGTCTTCCCTTCCTCCGTCGTCGGGGTTATTCTTTGAATTAGTTTACGCAACACGGAACAGGCTTCGCCGGGAGGAGCTGTCGGCGGAGCCCGTCCAACCCGGCCTACAGCCGGGGCTCCTGCAGAGGCAGGCCACGGCCGACAGCTCAGCCAGCAGAGCGGGGAGCCGAACCCGACTTCCGAACCCGACGCCGAGAGAGGCACGATGCTGAGCCTCCGCCTGTGAAGATGGGAACCGGCGGCACGTATCTGAGCGGCGGATCCCGTTTCCAGGCCCGCTGACGCCTGTCTCGCCCTGCCTGCAGCTCTCCCGCGAGCTCGTGCTCCAGCCCTCTCGGGGGCCCGTTCGCTAGCTGTTGGCCTTTGCTGATGCTTCTGGCTCTCAAGTTAGAAAGCAGCTTCCAGCGCTATCCAAACTTATTAAAAACCAGGCTACAAAGCACAGGCCGCTTCGGGGCAATCTTGCAGCCGAGGTGCAGGATGAAGACTACGGCTACGCGAACGCAATTCGCAGCTGTGCCACCCATGACTTGCGAGACCTTGGGCAAAACGTTACGCATCAGCTCCTCGCTACGAAAGAAGGATGACGCTTACCGTCTCCCATTCTTTATCCCCTCTGTCTGACTGCAAACCGTTCAGCGCAGGAGTTGTCCCTTTTTAGGGGACTGTACTGCAACTAAGAACTCTGAATTATACGTTATTCTCATGGCTGCAAAGAAAGAGAAAGCGTAGCACGACTGCTCTAGAAGGGTTACCTTCCCGTGATGCTCCTTGCACCACTCGGACATGCCATCCAGCAGCTCGTCGGGCTGATTAATAATCAGGTTAGGGCCCTGCCGGGAAGAGAAAAACGCAAAGGTAATCGCAGCGAGCTCAGTATCGAGCGGTCGCCCCCCCCCCCAGTGTCAGCCCCGAGATGCAGTGCTGCCACGCGCAGCCAGCCAGCGACTCAGGGGGTGGGAGAAGTTGCCGCCTGGAGGGTACAAAGCGGCAGCTCAGACCTGCGAGGTCACTCGCGCGTCCCCAGGCTCTCGTCTGGGCCCTAAGCCCCCGTTTTGGGGCAGCAGGTGCCAACGCTGCCGCAGCAGGGGCTCTACCC